TATATATATAGGGACAACACTGTGGTGAATTAGATGATCATTTGATTCCCAAAAGAAAATGTTATTCTACCTTATCTGGTGTTTAGGGTTTAGGAGACAATGAATTTGGTTTTTATCTCTTTGAAAATGCAGGTATTTTCTTAATCGACAGGATTCTTCACCCRTCCTGGTCTTTTTAAGTAGCTGAATTTGCAGACATCATTTGTTTACTCTCTTCCAATAACATGGCCTTCCAGAGACTTTAGCAAACTTGCAACATTTGAAGTTTCAACCTGACTGTCATGTTTTAAAGTAATAACGGCTGAATAGTGCATTTTTATTGGCTGTACATAAACACAATCTCAATGCAGAACTGTAGACACTCTCAATGCGCTCAAATGTACTTTAGATGGCAAGATAAAAAAAAATTGAAGATTAAAAAATTTGTTTTGGTGCTTATATATTTTCAAATAACTCTTTACAGATTCTCTTTTCAACCAGAACATCATAAACCTAACTAATATTCAGCCTCACCTTTTATAGAGAATCTAAAATAAAAAAAAATATATATATATATAATTGTAAAGTTGTCCGAAATAATCTAAATCTCAGTGTGTCACCATGGGGAGACCTCCCCAAGGGGTGCTGGCTGCAAATGAGTTCAATAAGCAAACTGCCAAGTTTGCGGAGAACAACTGCTCTATTTAGCATGTGCAGATTTACATGTCACTGTCTAAAAGAAACTCAAACATCTGTTCCTCATTACAAACACTGTGGATCCCATCAGTTAGAGCAGCCTGAACACCAGGGCCAATGATGTATTGAACAAACTGGCTTAGATTGGTGCCAAATTAAGGGGAAAAAAACTAAAGATTTTTGTGACACTGTTGACTGAAAAACATCAGTCCACCTATTTAATAATCTGCAGCCCTGGAAACAAATGATCTAAAGTAACAAAATTAAACAAAACAAGTAGTCCTTATGACCTCATCAGTCACTCAGAAATGTCCCATTCTACTACAGAGGTTGCCTATTAATTGCATCCTTTATGATTTCAAGCAGGTAACAATGTCACCTCCCAAAGCTGTCACATGCAATCTGCAACTATTTGTACAAACACCTCCACAGTAAAGGTTTTGTGAGTCGCAGCCAAAAACAATAGCAGGAAGCTGACATTTCCCACCTACTGAGGGTCACAGCTCATTGCTGCAGTTCTTTGAATCCTGGGATGTGAAACCTATTTCCTCCCAATGGGACGCCACTTCTTTCTCTTTCATCCGCCTCACACTGGAAATGAGAATGACGGTTCCATTAGCGAGGGGGGGAAAGAATCCCCAGCTTGGCCAGAGAGAGGTGCAATGCTGAGAGCCAAATTGAATAAATGAAATTCCAGTATGGGATGAGTGGGAAGAGAAAGAGCTTGCTGGGTAGCCAAGGTTGTGCAGCTGCTGGTTTGTGTGATTTACAAACTAGAAACACACGTTTTTATTTTTTATTTTTTGGTCAGTACTCGTTTCAAGATTTGAAACACACTGATGGGAGTTTCAGGTCTCTAAGCACAGAAGATTTTGTCAGATTTAGCAAGCTTGTTGTTGGTTTGTTAGCACATTTCTACCAACATAAAAAAAGTTTTCTTTCTGTATCAGAGGACAGTTAAAACAACAACAACATAACGCTGTCAATGTCAATGCATGAAGACRCAATCTATTGCCTTATTGGTTTCGGGGGGCATTCATGCTCAGATGCAAAGGTAAGGCCCACGTTGTGAGGATGATGTATTTCCCTGCTGGTCCAGAAGATCTGTGCTTCCCCTGTTAATCTCATTTCCTGGTCTTGTTTTCCATCTGATTGCTCGATCCACTCATCCATCATAGTCAACACTGTCTCTGAAGAGGAGCTCAGTGCATAAAAAACTACGGAAGAGGATTAGGGCCACTGAAAAAACTTTGACTTTAATCTCATAATTCTGAGAAAAAAGTCAGGATTCTGAGATTAAAGTCAGAATTCCTTTTTTAATTTTTTTAGTGGCCCTAATCCTCTTCCATAACAAGCAAGCAAACAAAAACAAACAAACAAACAAAAAATAAAGCAGTGAGGAGATATGCAGACAAGGGTGTGGCAAAAAAAGTCCTTATGTAACTTCAAGGTCTCAAAGGAGTAAAGATTCACCAATGACCACTATTATCCAAATTTGTGCAAATTTCTCCTCAACAATGTTGTTTGTTTTAAAATTAGCAGAAAATCAAATAAGTAGAAAAAATGAAAGTTAGATTTGATTGTGAGCTGAACCAAGACAAAAAAAAAAAAGTCACAAAAAGAATCAAATGCTTATTAGTTTCCGCCCCTGATGAAGCTTTAATGTAATTTATTGAACGATTAGATCCAACTTTTGGTTTCTTAGACAAAATTTCAAGGGATAAGAGAAGACCTTGACCTGATTATGACTCAGTGAATAAAACACAGACCTGTCCAAAGTGAGACGAATTTATCCTCATGGGAGCACGAATGAACTTTTCTGAAATCTGTCCAAAAATTACAGACATACCTCAGTCTGGACTAAGGAGGTGGATTGAACATCTGGGAAACTGTCGCTTTGCCAAAACCAAAGCTTCCAAACATGACTGGAAGGCAGGAAAGCTAGAGTGAGAAATTAAACGGCTCTTATTGTTAAAATGAAATTTATTTCATGAGATTCTTTTTTTTTTAGATCTCATCTTCAAAGTCATGATCTCATCGGCTTTTCAGTTCGAAAGCACAAAGCACAGCAATAAAAAAAAGAACAAGAACCAACGTGTATGAYTGTAATTCAAATGTGGCTTTTTTTTTAATATCCATGTTGAAAGGCATACATTAGAGTGCAAACCGTTCTTTGGCAAAAGTACAATATAACTCCCGATGGGTACTAGTATATCCTGATTGACCACTGTTTCAGGGACAGCACGGGTAAAGCAGGTTCAGTCTCGCAGAGCAGTGCATTCCATTAACACATGGAACTTTAATAAATCAATGATTGATGTTGTGCTTTGGCACCCAGATCTTGGAACACTTGCCACAAAATGTGTTTAGCCTGTTGCTGAGTAGGGGGGCGGGGGTGTTGGGTGGGAAGTACACAACTGTAAACACACAAAACTGTGCAAGTATATCTGAACACGTGACATGACACCAGAGTGGCTACAGCCCCTCGTAATCCATCTGATATCTTGAGCGGAAAATTGCGGACCGACTTTATTTCTGTTCAGGAACAGATGCTCGCTACAAAAACAAGAAATGAAAAGAAACTCGAGCGCGACGACATGATTAGGAAGAAAAGCGAAACAGGAAAATGAAAAAAAATGCCAAATTAAACAAGCCAGTGCACGAATGAGTGGTATTTGTCTATGTACAGTACATATAAAAGTTCTGGTGAAGACTTGCTTTACCTCTGTCCCAATCACACCCCCCACCCCCACCCTTGTTATCCCCCCAACTCCCCGTCTCATATGGCTTCTATTACAGTGGAATGAGGGTCAGAGGGCTGGAGAAGCCTGCGTTCCACTAAATGACATCAGCTCAGACTCAAATCTTCAACATGGCAAAAAAACAAGAACAGGGTCAGCAATCCCAACGCCGAAGTCTCTCCTTACAGGAAGAAAAGAGGAGGAAAGCTGAAGAAAAGGAGGRGTTGCAGAACGCATGCAAGCGTGTCCTTGTGTAAACTGGAGCTCGAGAGCTGCAGGGCCCCAAGAGCAAAGATTCTTCCCAGTACTGCAGCGGTGGGTCAAAACCATCGAAAAGTGAAACAACAGAGAGAGCGTCAAACGGAGAACACTGCTGCGGTAAAGTTAGCGGCACTAAMAAGCTGTGCCCAAACAAATACAACATTCAAAGTTTACCATTTCCAACATTTTCAAAGTTGTAAAACAGTATTGTTTGACTTTTGAGGCTGGAAACACTGGGATAAAGTTCAAATGCTACGCTAAATAATGACTTTCCTGATCCTGRAAGCACAGTGACGGTACAAGAGGGCGTTGTTGTGAGTGGATTAATAGTTCCGTAACAGAAAATGATTTCAACTCATCAAGCTCAGGACAGGCCGGCGTTATCCACGGATAGAAAAGCAGAAATCAGTAGACATGCTTCTTTGCATCACAAACCGTTTTTTTTTTTTGCTGTTGTAGGGTTTCACATTTTCTTCACAAGTAAGCATTTTTATACAAAAAGGTAAAAAAATTACATTATATAAAACACCATGGATTAAAAGATAAAATAACTCTACAAATGAAAAGTCTCTGAATAAAACAATCCTCTCCGTTCTGATGTTTTGTTAGAAGAAATACTGAGCGTATATACTGCAGTTGCTCTGCATACAAAGGGTAATACTTTTAAGGCTTGTATTTTAGTGTTTAAATCAGACGAAATGGAAAATAGCACCAGTTTTCGGCATCTCTAACCTGAGAAAAATGYGTGAGCCATCAAAAAGGATGCTGTACTTCCCATTACCTTTCCCTTCCCGCTTGTCAACGACATCTGGTTCTGTTTTTTTTCTCTCCATTATTACGCTTCATAAGTCTGAATGAGCAAGAAGAAGTTTTGTCCGACCTGTTTAATCCTTGGGAGTGTTGGTTGGTTTGTTGTTGGAGGATTACAAACCAAGCCATGGACTTCTGCAACAAACAGACATTTTAAGACACCAACTTGCCCCTGAATTAAAACTAAAAAAAAAAAAAATAAACCCCCCAAAAAAAGACCCCCCAAGAATTAAACAAAGAGGTTGTTGGGTCTGTCGAGGTTAACTGTGGCTGTGGATCAGTCTCGTCTCTCCTCTCAATGAGTCAGATTTTTATGTGACTTGAAGACTTCAGTTTATCAAGGTGGGTGGGGGGGTGAAGGTAATCCTGGAGGTTATCCCTGGTGGGTGTTGACTTTTTGTCTTTCACTAACATCTTCTTGATGGAAACACACCGGGCAGCAGGCGCCTTTTAGCTTGACGGGTTGTTTGCACTCAACTGTTGGACAAGATTCCACAAAGCAGGTCACCTGGGCATCCTGAGGAGGAAGCAGAGAGGAACAGTAAATCATAAGTTTACAGYCCCTCAGGTAAAACCTGCCAAACTGGACACTTCAACAACACGGAATAGATAGAAACACAGAATTAAAGGTGATTTTAAAGGAGATATTGTGCTTTTAAATCCTTTTTCACATTTAAATCATTCAGCTGGGGCCAATGTAAAGTGGAACTGCAATGCTTTGGTCTGAATTCCTCTTTATTGTAAGCCCACAAGCCCCTCTTTCACCCCTTTTCTGTAGTGTTCCTCGGATCAACTCGTTTTGAGGCTGTCTCTTTAAATCGAAACGAGACACTTTGGCTTCAAGTCTGACCCAGAGCGAGAGATGAATGAAGACAAGGAAACTGGAGTTGGTAAGTCCAGACCTTATTTGGCAGTTCTGTTGTAAAATCTGCAGGTTTATAGTAACTAGGTACATTTACTTTGTTACAGTACTTAAGCAGTTCTTTTGAGGATTTGTAATTTTATCAGTTATTTTTTAAAATAGCCACTTTTACTTATATTTCATTACATTTTAAACCTAAAAATAATAGTTTTACTTCTTAACTTTAAAATGTAACACCTAGTTAATCATTACAAAATTAAATATATGTTCAAACTCATCATGAAAGGTGTTTATCCACTCTAAAAAATGAAGTGTTGAATTTATTCAACAAAGTCATGTCAACTGGCTCCACTAAGCCTAGTTGATACATACATTGCTCAGTTTACTCAAACTGACTTAGAGGAACCAGTTTAGTTCAGTAAATTCAACTGTTTATTTATTAGAGAGTGTAAAAGTACTTTTACTTTCACAATTTTTGTGAACAGTTTTCTGACTTTTACTTGAGTAGTTTTCTCATCAGTGAAATTTATTTTTACCGAAGTCATTTTCTGTTCAAGTAATTTTACTTTTACTTAGTGATTTTTTTAAGTACTATATAGACCTCTGAAATTCTGTGATGTAATAGTTCATAAAACGGCATTAAAAAAATTAGAGAAAACTGAACATGTTGAAAAACATTGCCCAAAAAGAATATTAAGATATCTTTGCAGCAACAAGAGTGACAAAATTTAAATTTGATGCACTCCTAGAGACTGCAAAGACACAACAAAATGCATTTAAYGGCTAAAAAGTGGATTTTTTTTCATATGTCCCTTTTTAAATGTGTGAAGAAAAACAAACTGAGCTGTAAATAAGACAAATTACTGCAGGAGTGAAAAACAGGCATGAAGACGTCAGAGGCAGTAGACTTTGGCATGAGGGTGTCATCACCTCTGCCAGAAGTTGGCATCAGATAAAGAATAAAGCCAGAGCTGTCAGGTGCACGAACACCAGGGCCRGGGAAAAGTTCAAGCCAAGAAATGAACGTCTTCAAAGAGAGCGAGAGGAAATAAAGGGAAGCATTTTAAAACAGGCAAACTCCTCACATAGACATGATGGACATCGCATCATAAGTGAGAAATACCAGGATCCTTCAACACGATGAGGGGTGAGTGAGTGTTTGTGTAGTCAAAAACATACTCTGCATTCACACGTGGAGCAGGAGTCCTTTCTCCACCGTTCTCCATCTGTTCGCTCACGCCCCTCACCATCAGTGCAGTCGGTGTTGTGCAGGCGAGCTTCCAGTCTTTTAATCTACAAAAGAAAACGCAACGAAATACAATCATTTCACAATTAAAAACACAATTTAGTGTCTGTGGGCGCACRAGCACACCTGTTTCCGTAAACTTTTGATGGTCTTCTGCATGTCCAATACAAAGTCCTGGAAATCACTGATCAGAGGCTCGCTGGTCGCTTTAGAGGCTGCAGAAATATTTACAAGAGTTTCTTGGGCTTCTTTCAGTAAACTGGAAAAAAACAAATGCACATGTATTAAAATACTACAATTATATAACCGTCATCTGCGTTTAACAGTAATTAATGAGTTCATTCTTACCTTTAAGGAACTTTTTTTTTAGCGAAAAGTGAAAAGATACAAATGAATCATCAAGAATGGGATGGATTTTTTAAAAAACACCGATGGTTGTTTGTTATCTACCTTTTGTCTTCGACACTGTTGGCAGGTTTCTCCTCTTTGTAGCTGTACTCAGCTGATCTCCGTCCCCTGAAGTGGTACGACAGGGCGTTGAACTGACCCTTGGTTCTGCAGTCTGGTAGCATAAGCAAAACAATATATTACTGCTCAAAATCATGGGTAAAATGCAATCGGATGCTGAGTGGAAGAACCAAGCTTGTGATGTTATAAAAGCAATCTGACTAACATCATGGTTCCCACATCTTGGTCAACATCAAATTCAAGGACCTTTCAAGGACTTTCCAGTACCAATTCCCTCAAATTAAAGAACCACGCACAACGGCAGTTACCTACTGCTACCGCAGAATGTTACCAATAAAACAGGTTTAATATTATGTAAATTCAATGAAAGACTGAACAACATAGAAGTTGAGTCGACAAGTGTAATTTTTTGGCTGTTTTCACAAACTTTCTAGGGCCTTGAAATAATTTTTTCAAATTCACAAACTTTCAAGGATTTCAAGGACCCATGGGAACCYTGTAGCATTGTGCAGGTTCATGCCATGTTACAATTTAAGCTCTGTGTTAAAACCCTTGGTGTTAAATAAAACCCAATAGGACTTGCAAATAAGATGAGTTAGAATGAATAAAGAATTTAAGTGCTTTCGACTTTAACGCAAATGTTACTGCACTAAAACTGAAAGTATTGTGAAGACTGTTGCTCGTCTTACCCTCGCAGCAGTCCTGCCACATGCGCAGGTCAATATGAGGGATATTTTCGCAGCTGTCGTAGCCGTGCGGCAGCTCGGCCACCGTGAACACGTCTTTTTGAACGCGGGTGATGTTGTCTCCGTTGTCGCAGAGAATTCGAGCCAGAGACGCCTGCTTCAGCTGAGTCAGCTGGGCGGGAGTGAACACGCCTGGGCTTTCGTACCAGAACCTGAACAAAAACAGGAACAGGTAATAGAAGAGGACAAGAAAATTGTGTAAATTAGCCCTTTTTTGGTCTCTTGTTTTTGCATTACAGCTGTAATTTTGCATGGTTTCTAAAGATAAATCACAGATAAGAGGAAAAGAGGAACAGGAAGCAAGAGGTTTCTGAGGTGTAGATTGTTTAGGTTGAATGGAGGCATTTAATTCATGCAAACAGATGTGAGTTTGTGAAGTGTGAACTGAAATGTGCTTGATTTGATGTACCTGTCACCATCCCGCACACGTTTAAATTGTAGTGTGAGCAGACACATGAGGGTAGGACCCAATCTACTACCGGGAACCAAGTCTTCGGACATCAAGGCTGGGAACAGGTCAATATTCAGAGGAGTACCATACAGCCTGCCATGTAAGAAAAACACTTAATTTAAAACTGAAGTTAGTTAATATCTGTAAAGTAATTTCCAATGTACTATACTGCCATTGTGGGTAAGTACGTAGTGTTGGTTTGCAACAGAATGACTGTTTTCCAAACAAAAGTAGTGCACTAAAAAGACCCGGCCTGGTACAATGTTGGTTAAAAAACTCCTAGTTTACCATACCCTGCAGGATTTATAGCTTCATGTCTTAAACATTGCTGCTAATTCAGTTCATACCTTCGTAGTTTTTCTCTAACATCCGGATTCTTGATCTCGTTCCTCAAGTCATCAAATGTTTGAGCTGTAGTCAGGTTACAGAAGGTCCTATAGTCATTGTACGATGGTATGCCATGGTCCCTGCCTCTCTGAACGTTCATGGCAGCCAGATCCAAAGCCACAGCATGGGCCATGGAGAACAACTTCTCTGTCAGCTCTGTGTTCAACAGCTGCGTGGAAACACGCATTTTGCCGGCGACGCCAAAGAGSCCACGAAGGAGCGGATCGATGCCACCCTCATTTACAATGCGGAACGGAGAGAAGAAGGCCCGGTGCAGAGAAAGGTGTCCCTGAGAGATCGGTTCAAAGTTCTCATTTAGCCTGTAGAGCACTGGATTGATGAGGGTGTGTCCGAAGCGGAAAGCAGCTGTGGCAAACGCATTAAAGATGCCAGCATTAATGTTGGGGTTATAACCGGTATATGGTCCCAGCATCTTCAGGCCTGCATCACCAAGAATCTAAGAAAAAAACAATATTGTTTGACTATATTCATTTAAATCATACATCAAATATTTTTTTCTAATAATCACACAAAGGCTGCACTTATGGTGAGAGCTGTTACCTTTGGTAACCAGTGACTGTAGGTGATGTGCTGCATCTGGGCCCCMACTATCTTCCTGGTCTCATGGTAGATTGTGTCCCCATCCCAGTGGGGATTCAGTCTCAGTAACTCTGTAGCTATGCGATTGTGTTCTCTGAACCACACAGTGTGCATCGCAGTCAAGCCAAGCTGCTCGTTGGCACGGTGATCTCCCGCTAAGAAACATGGAATTGGACTCTCATTTTCATCCCTCATACACTCAGTGGGAGGTCCTGTGGCAAATGGCAAAAGTGGCTTCCCTGTTCGTTGTATGATACCTTGACGGAGCAGCCCCCTGTGACTTGCCATATCACGGACTTGCTCGGATTCATGTTGTGAGCTGCCGTATAYATTGGAAGCGTCGATGTAAGAGGTGATTTGGTTGCTTTGCTCTCTTGGATAAACGCTGTTCATGAGCAGGGACGTCATCCCACTGCCACACACGGGGCTCGATCGCACAAAGAACATGCAGCGAGCCCCGCTTCGCAGCTGCCGTTGGTCATTGGGGGGGAACTGGATTGGGAAGCACGGTGGGTCGTTTGTGCACACCTGAACACACAGCTGACCATCGGAAAACCGTGACTGGCTTAGGGAAACCACCGTTGAGTCCAAATCATGGTCCAGGAACTGACCCCACTGCATCAGAATGTGAGTGTATCGGTCATCAGGAGTGATGGTTTCTGTTCCAATCAGTGTGGTGGACACAAGCCTCGGCAGTGGCAACCTGTACCCATTATGCACCCTGTCGGTGGTTCCTCTCGGCAGATTGAAGCCGTTATCRTAGACTGGTTTCAGGAGGCGCTCAAAGGCCGTGAGTGAGGCCCCCCACATAGGGTGCTGCAAGTTGTTGCAGGTGCCATCGTGACTGCGGTACTTTTGGTGGAAGCAAATGTCAGAGCAGTTATTGATGCGGCGATGAGCTGTGCAACCAGACAGATTAGCAATCATATCCAGGAAACGGGGGGATACCAGGTCATTGTAGCGAAAAGCTGTAAAAAGGTAACAYAAACTCAGTAAATTAGAAATGTACATGCACAATAAATAGGTGTGGATGTGAAAAAGTTCATTAATGAAAATTGGGAGATAATTTGTAGGAAACCTCAAATAGTATTTGTATATTAAGATTTCCCTAGTTGGAAAGAAACAAAAACATTGCTCACAGGGAAAAATTCAAAGCCTTTTTCCTCAAAATCAGTCTTTTTTTGTTGCTAAAAAAAGCTTCAAAATTTTTTTTAGGATTATATTTCAGTCAGTTCATTCGAATGATACATTGACAAGGCATTAATTCATAATATTTTGACAAAATGCAATTTGTGCACACGTTTAAATCAAAACCCTASATCTGCCTGTTTCTCTACATTCCATTTWTGGACTTAATCYTTATTTCGATGTGATGGGTCACATATTTGGAGAAAGCAGAATCGTGTGACACATCACTTATTAGCTTGTTTCCTGCTGTTTGGAGACCTTAACTTTGGAATTTGGTTGTCGTCATCTTGCTATGTTTTGGAGCCAGACGTGCCTATATATGGGAATGTCGATACTCTCACTGATAAAATTGATTGGACAAAAATATGTTTCTTTCAGGCCAATCAAAACAAACAATAGATCTTTGAAAAGAATAATCCAGTTAGTGACACTTAAGGCCTTGTAGGGGAAAAACGACTTCAAATCTGATACTTATGGAATGATAAACCTTTAGAGCGAGTCCCTAGTACTAGTCTGTTGTATTGCATGCATAAGCACGCCCACAGTGGCTTTACTACTGACAGTGAGTGAAACCGTCCATATTTCTGATACAATGAGCTCACACTGGTTTGTCAGTGTTGTCAGCTTGCTGCAGCACATTCTAAAAAAGACAGTTTTATATGTTAACTATTCAATTTAATTGGACCAACCCTTGACCCTGCATGGGGAAGGAATGAGAGGAGACTGAGAAAGGGAATCAGTTTATTGACCAAAGTATGTTAAACTCTGCCATAATGTGTGGAACTGTGCCCCTTTTCAGAATGTTTGGCTGAACACGAGGGAGCATTTCTCATGTTCAGAAAACTTGCTGAACACAGACGCATGCTACTATGCACGCCTGCAGCACCTCACGACTTATTTAAAGAGGCAATATCATGTAAATTTTACTTTTTTGAGCTTTAAATAATTTTATAATGTTACCCTCTCATAAAAAAACATGCCCAGAGTCTTGCTTTGACTCATTCATGCATGTTTGAGAAATCCTGCAGTGTCCTGAGGCAACCAGGCAGGGGAGCAATAACAACCGGTTGGGCCTTTTTTGGACCAGCTCCTCCTCTATGTTGTGTCTCCAAGCTGAGCTTCCTCATCACAGAGTACACACACCCAGCCCCGTGCTGAAATGGGTGGGACAGAAGCGTAAAAAGGTTCTTAAAGGGATCCCTGATTAGTTGTAACATTAGACTTTAATTTCATAAACACATATTTTAACTGTAAAATAAAGACTGTAAAAATACTGTAGGCTGTTCAGTTTTGTAAATTTTTAAAAATATATTTTAACACGGACAGGACCATTTCATTTACACACAAAGCATTCTGGGTAAATGATGACGTAGATAGGTCCTCGGTGCGAGGCTGCTAGTGAGCTATATCCACCCTGAAGGTTAATCTTGGACAATATCTGACAATTGGCTCTTTTAAATGAAACCAGAGAGCGTTGACAGAGAGGAGAAGGTAAACGACTCAGCCTGTAACTGAAAATATGGATGGAGGACAACAGAGCTGCTTCATGGAAGAAGAACCTCAGCTTAGCCTGTTAGCTTTAGTGTTAGCGCTGATGCTATATTGCCTTATATGTATTAGCTCAGCGCTAGCGCGACAAGCAAGCTAAACCGAGGTCCTCCATCCATATTTTCAGTTGCAGGCTGAGTCATTTTTGTGTTCCCCTCTCTGTCATGTGGATGGAGGACCTCAGTGAGGAGAGGAGAATATGTAGCGCTGAGCTAAAACATATGAGATAATGTCGGGGCTAATGCTAAAGCTAACAGGCTAAGCTCAACGAAGGCGAGAATTCCTGTACACCAGGTGCCACACATCTCACTTTACACACATTACTGCTGTGTTGGGTTTTGTATTAGTTTTTTGTGTGTTTTGTATAACAGTGATTATAATAATAAAAACATTTAAAACACAGAAAAAGCCACAACAAGAATAATCAACAGCCTGCTTGGACTTTTGAACAAAAGTGCTAAAGCTTAGGATTAGCCTCACCGGTGCCATTGGTGTCGACCATAAGACCCTGGTTGACGTGGTTCTGGATGAGCAGGAGAGTCTGCTCGAAGATCTCACCAGCACGTGCCTGCCCGACTGTGTAGGGATCCCGTGGGTATCGGAAAAGAGCGAGCAGCTCTCCTGGATTACGAGGCTGACTGGAGGGATGAGGGACGACAAGTATGGTGGGGGGGTGGGGGGGACGAAGACAAGAAAGACACGATAAACTTTTAAAACAACTCTGACACGTCTCAGGAAAACTCTCCGCTGCGGCTCRAAGAATCCAAAAACTAGCACAAACACATGACTCGGTGTATTTGTGTGCGTGCCTCTGAGCTGTGCTTCCACTAATTCATACAGACCAATCAGCTGCTTTATTTATTTAAACCTGCATCCAGTTGAAAAGTTGAAAACTGAGCCACAGCTTAACAAAAACAGCTGTCCCATGCTATAAACTTGTGTAAGTGAACTTACCACTAGAACACAAAGTGTAGCGATACTTTGATATTTTACTGTTAAACTTGGTCAAGTCAGGAGAGTTTTAGATGAATTCAGAACTAACCACAAATCAAGCCACAAAACCCACTGCGAAGGGCAAATGAAGGGTGCATTTGGGGAAAAGGTTTTGTGGCTTCTGTAAAATAAAAACAAAAACTTGGCAGCAGTTGCAGCCTGGTCCAGAAACAACGAGCTGTGATCTTCAGCAAACATCCTCCATGTTCTCTCTTTCTGACAAAAAGTCTGCTCAGCATTCCCCTTTGTCTTCGAATGACCCCAGTTTTCTCGTATTTTCTGTCACTGTAACACACTTTCATGTTTACAGGTGATGATGTCTGGTTTTTGTTTGATTTCAGCTCAACTTCGACAAATTTCCACCCGACTGAGTGATGTGGCGAGCAGCTGTACTTCTCYTGGCACGCACTCACCTACACTCTGCCCACCCAGGCGCACACAACAAACACACGTGAAGAGAAYACATTTGCTCACAAACCCAGAGTGATGGTCGCTGTGGCAATGAGGGGATTTCCAAATCTGTTTAAATCGCAATCACAGAATGGGACGTGCTTTTCTGTTTAGTTGGTGTACTTTGTGTCTGGAAATGTACAAGATGTCAAATGCTGACATGAGGTGGGACAAATGACTAATGACCACGTCGACCCAGATAGATGGTTTTTTTTGTGTGTTGTTTTTCTTAATAAAAATGAATCCAATCTGTACACGTTTTTCATGTCTTCAGCGCAACCCAACACAGAAATTTGTTTTGGAATAATTTTGTCCAAAGATTTTTTTTTTTAACTATTGCGGTTTTTCAGTTACTGGCACCAGAATTAGCGCTGGTGCTACAGCCTGACTTGTTTATTCAAGACATTTAAATCAGCTGTTTAACAATAAATATAAAGCTTTCAAAAATGTTGTTTACTAAAAACAAACATTACTTTTAATTTTTGTAGTAAACTTCCAGAAGAAGAGATCCAAGCCAGGCTGCAGCATCTTGTTGGTTTTCCCGCCAAAACAACAAAAATCTGCTTGAGCAATATTCTTTTTTAAATTACATTAAACTCAAAAATGATTTGCTTCCAGATTCAACCACTTTAGTGACTGCGTTTTCACAAAAGCAAGGCAGCTTGTGAGTTTGAGGAGCTGCGTGTAAGAAAGCAAATATCTTCCTGCAGTTTGTTCAGCCAGCTGTGGTAATGAGTCTGGAATGCAGATGGATGCAAGAGTGAATGATCAGATACAGGGGAAATTCTCCAGAGCATCTAGCAAGTAAAACGCACAAGCGATTTTAATTATCTGCTCATTTTCTAAGACAACTTCAGAGTTCGTGTGGTTATGGGTTTATTGTGAGACTTCCTCATGTCCTACCCATCGAAAAGACGTCTCCTTGTGGACTCGATAGCACTGTCCACGCTACGTATGGCCTGCTCTATGGATGTGCTCACGAAGGTGTCGCCCTCCCGGCTGATTGCAGGCACTGATGGAAAGAGATTAAAGACAAAATAAAAATTAAAAAAACAAGCAAAAAACAAGGTGAAACTCATCACCAAAGCATCGACTGGTATGCCTCTGCCTGACGTAGACATGTCTGCCTTTGAATAAAATAACAGTTTTATATTACCTATCATCATAAATAAACTTTACCTTGAGTTCTACCCTAATGGAGTTACTATGCTTATTTTTAAGTAAATATTTAATTTCATCAAGGAGATATCATGCACACAAGACCACCCATGACGGAGGTACACCGCACTAACACACTGGCAGCCAGAGTATGCCTATGATCCARTGGGCGGAGGCATAATAAGACAATTTGCATTTTTTGTGAAAATGAAGCGGGAATGCTTGAAGAGTTTTGCTGAAAGTTGCTTAAGTCAAGTAAAAGTAGATAAATTAGCAATAGAGGATAAAAATAATAGAATTAGCAGATGGTAAGAAAAGAATATAATTTTTTTAATTAGCAGAAATTTAAAAAAGGGTTACAAAACCAAAGCAAAAACAGATTAAATCAACAGAAAAAGCTGAAAAGGTAGTTAAAAAAGCAGAAACTAGAGAACAAAAGCTGAATTTTTTTTGCTGAATTAAGCAGCAGAAGAAACTAAAATTATCAGAAAAAGGTGAATTTAGCTTAAGCTAAAATTAGCTGAAAATAACTAAAAAGTAGCTAAAAAAGCCAGAAGACAGCTGGAGTTACTAGAAAGCAGCTGAAAGAAGCATAACAAAATAAATTTGCTAAAAAAGCTAAAAATATTAAGCATAAACAGTTGAAGAATGATAGCTGAAAAAGCCAAAAACAGGGTAAAAATCATCAAAAAAGAAGCTAAAGGAGACTGATATTAGCACAAATAAGTCAAAAAAGCAGAACCAGAATAAAAGGTGAAAAGTACAATAAAGATTTATAAACATTCTGAAGGGTTTTAATGATGTTAAAGTCAGCTCCATTCGTTTAATGAGAAAAAAAATGGAAGAAAAAGCCAAATCTCTCAAAAAGTAAATTGCTGAAATACCAAATGTCATAGCCAGAGAGTCCTGAAGGAGCTCAATATTGTGATATATAAATTGCTGAAATAGCACAAATATTTATGTAAAAACGTCCAGAAGCAAAAYGGATCCTTTCAATTGTTAACCATCACAAGACAGTCTTTGTGGGACACTATTTTCTAAATTCATTTACGGAAGTTTATGTTTAGAGGATTAACAGCATTTTCTAAAGCAATTAGCTTTAGAACTTCAGCATCTTGGCTTCTTTACGATGCTGGAGTGAACACATTTCTGGCACAGGCCTTCCTGTCTCTGTGCCACTGAAAACAGTGAGACTGTGACGTGAAGACCGAGAGTCCAAGAAAAACTGAGCACTTTGTYTCAGTTTATGGTTCGCCAGCAGAGCGCTTGCAGTTCAAACTCGCACATCTCAGCGGGAAACACCAACACACACACAAGGAAAAAGCTGATTGGAATCGGACAGGTCTGCAGCAGAGTGTGACTAAATTACTGTGACTCAGTCAAAGATCATCAACAACGATCAACAAAATTTTCAGAAAAACACACATAAAATGCTCATCAATCTGGAAGGGGTCTTAGGACCATATCCAAACTATTTTGAGTCCATTATTCTGCCTTCTGAAATTATTTACAAGCAGAAAAGATTCAAGGCAGCTGCCAGTTTTGCAAAGAGTGAATCTCCCAGCAGGTTCACTTTGAAGTCCATCTTAAGACTCTACAGGTTTCAATTAGTATGTTTGATGTTAAAGTTCATGACAGGATAATTAGGAGGAAAAAACATTCAACAAGTATGGTTAGTTTGAAAGGTATGCCAGGTGAAAATATCTATAAAAATAAGACACACAAGGCCAAAGTATAGACATTTACTCTTAACACRCAGCTATATGTTTTGAGAAAACTAAAACAGCCCTTTGCAACTGTTGTGCATGGTGGTGATGATTTAGGGTTYTGCAGCCACAGGACTTGGGCACATTGCAGTTACTGAATCACACATAAAGCTCTGCTGTATACAAACATATTCYAGAATCCAATGTGAGGTCATCTGTTTGACATCTGAAGCTCACTGGATCATGCAACAGCAGCAAATCTTTAACAGAACCACTGAAAAAGAACAAAATCAAGACGTTGCAGTGACCCAAAGTCCAGACCTTAATGTGACTGAAAGTCTGCGGCAGGACCCTGAGCGAGCTGTGAATGAACAAATGTGAAACCTCAAACAACTGAAGGTTGTAGGTGACCAAAATCTCTCCATAACTACTGAGAGACAGATAAAGCAAAAGTTACTAAGAGTTATAGCTAATAAAGTTTGTTCTACAATCCRTTCACTGTACAGTTTCATGTAGGTCTGTCACAATCCTGAATGTACTTTGTAGAAAAATCCCACTTTCAGCATTACAGTTTGTAAACAGCTATCATAAAATCTGTTTTAAAAGTAGCAGAAAAAGAAAGTTTCATACCCGTGACTGTGAGCACCATACTAGCGACCTGGTAGCCGATAGGGTTGCGAGCAACACACTCATAGCGTCCACCATCGGCAGTGCCAACATCCTTCACCTCCAGGTAACCGTCAGGGCTGATGTGGAACTTCCCACTTTCTGTCACCTGTACACCATCCTAAAAGAGACGGATGGAAAAGACCTGGAATTTTAGACCGGCTTTGATCCATTAAGTTTGGTTTTTCTGTAGTTGCCTATTAACTGCTCCAGGAAACAGCAGGATGAATGTTTCTAACCTTGTTCCAGGTAAGGACTGGCCTTGGCTGGCCCTGAGCTCTGCAGGGAATCTGCACATCCTGGCCAGCCTCCACAGTCAGGTCCCTTGGAGCATTTGTGAAAACAGGCGTTACTGAATGAGTTAAAACATACACACACGTGTTAATGATTCTGCGCCAGTCCTGAATGAACTAAACATGGACAACACATTATGAAGTTAATCACAGTAGACTGGAAACTCTCAAGATTCGTATTTTCCACATCTTGCATAAAGAAAACAGAGCCACTCAACAACAAGCACCTGTGCTACTTTCAACTAAATGACTGCTTAGAWCAATGATGGGCAACTTAAATGCTGAAAGGAGCCATGATATTTTGTTGACATGACCAGAGGGCCGGATCATAGTGCCGCAAGGTCATTACATTTCCCCAAACGTAATAAAACAAAGTCGCTGTCTTTTGTGTTTGTGACTGCAATAAACTCTTCATATTTAGCTTTGTGCAACGACTTATATTAAAATCCTTTATGGCAGACAGTATCTTTAAGTAGACTAAACACATGCAGGTTTAATGTTTCCCTCACTGTTTACCTCCCTAAAAATATGTATATGTTCTTGATTTTCTTTTTTCTTCACTTAAAAAAACACTTTTAAAGCAGCTTTTAGAATATAAGAGCAGCTTTGAGTACTTGAAAAAGAGGCAGGGCCCATTGGTGGGCCTGAGGGAAGAAACATGTGGCCCACGGTCCACCAGTTGCYCATCTGCTAGCTTAGATGAATCAATTACTAAACAACTAAAACAGATTTATTTTAAAATATACATATATTTAGGGGTCTTCTTTCATCAACATCCTCACCTCTCTGCTCAATGCTAAGCTGTACAGCAGTTGTCGCAGTGCCCACTGTGTTGACTGCCTGACACTGGTACAGACCCTCGTCGTGCGCCGCCACCCGAGTGATGCGGAGCGTACCAGAGGACAAGACCACGTGACGACGRTCCGAAGGCAGCGGACTTCCTCCTCGAGTCCAGACGATGACGGGCTCGGGGTTACCGCTTGCCTCGCAGGGGAAATCCACCGTGTGACCCTCCAGGACTGACTGGTCCTGTGGCGTGGTGGTAAACTGGGGGATTGCTAAATAAAGGAAGAAAGGGATATGTAACATAAAAAAAATAAAAAAGATATATATAAATACAGCGGATAAAATAAGTATTGAACACGTCACCATTTTTCTCAGTAAATATATTACTAGAGGTGCTAATGACATGAAATTTTCACCAGATGTTGGTAACAAA